ATTAAACCACCCCAATAGCGTGTTTGTTAATTTGCACGTGGCAGCCTGTCCTCTCAGTCCAGCGATCTGCTCGGTGGCTTCACCTCACGAAGGGAGTCACAGGGCTCGGGTGCGTGGCCGTTGGACAGAAGAGCCGGCTTCCCTTCCGCTTCGCTCTGCAAATCCAGTAGTGTTGGGGGAATTTCAGGAAGCACATTCAGTTGCTTTAATGACCCTCCCGCTGGCGAAGCTCTCACCAAATTAAGGTTGTTAAGCTCTGAGGGCTTTGCTACTGCTTGTGAAGAGCCTGCAAAAAAACCCCAAACAACAGTGTGGTGAGTTGCTGCTCAGCCTGCCAGCGCTCCTCGTGAAACCAGCCCGTTAAAAAAGCTGAGGGGAGAGAAGCAGCCACTGCTGGAAGCTGGACAGTGTTAGATTGCATCTGGGGAGAGAGAGACACCCCCAAGGAATCACGTACCCTGTGTGTCCGCAAGCAGCGGGCTGGTGGTGCCCGCAGCTCCTATTCTGTCATGGTTGCTGGGGTAGCGGGTGCCGTCTGCTTCCACCCTCGTGCCGCTGGCAATCCCGTTGCATGGCTGAGGCTGCAGAAGGCTGGTGCCTGCACCCCGCTTCCTGCTTCGTTCCTTGCTGCTCAGCGTGTTTGGGTAGGTACTATCCACAGTCTTGAGGCTCTCGGAGTAGTACTCCGGCTCCGTGGGGTAGATGTGGACGTTCATGCTGTCCGTGCTGCCGCTGCAGTCCGCGCACACCACGGGCAGGCCGTAGCCTTTCGGGGAGGAAGGGAAAACAGCAAAAGATCAACCAGCTGGAAGGCGTCAGCGGCTTCCAGAAAGGAAAAGGCAGCTCTGTTTAGTTCATGCGTCCCTCAGCACTGTAGGGATCTCTCACTAAATAATATGGATGTTTCTTGGGTTTATACAGGGCTAGTAAATACCTGAGTTTTCCAGAACTCTCTATCACCAAAGGTAGTTCTAGTTAATACCTTTAGCTGGTTGTGGGGTTTTTTTTTATTCAAAAAAGTGGTGATTTTCCTTCTTTTTCTTTTAATAAACTGTTCATTTATTTCCTTTTCCAGACTTTCCAGTCAGGGTAGAAATACAAAGTGGAACTTTTCCTGCACCTGCTTTAAAACACCAAGTTACTTTTCTTAATTTTGTGCTGCTGCTTTACAGGAATCACAGTCAACTCCTATTGTTAATCTCAAGATCCATTATTACTGTTAGTGGTAATAACAGATGAGCAGAATTCAAAGAAGCAGGCAGGAAGGAATTTCTAAATGTTGAAAGTTAATTTCCTTAGTGCACTCAACAACTTTCCATTACTAAACTTCACAGTTTCTCCTGGAGATAAGACTCATTTCACTGGCTGTTCTTCTGTGGATGTTACTAAAATTAGAAAAGTATGAGTGTAACGCCCAAAAAATTGTCAAAGAGCAGATGTAGTTGTAGTACCCAAAACAACCTTTAAATTTTGAAAATAAAAAACCCAAGCTGAGCTTTGAAGTTGACAGCCCCCTTTAAAGACCACGAAAAGTTTTAACACCTTCAGTTTGTAAGTGCTCTCACATGATTTTAGGAATAGCTCAAATCAAAATACCGATCAGCCAGCTGCAAGAACGGTGACTGCAAGCTTTAGTCTGCCTCTTTCCAACGGTTCCTCGAATTCCAGCTATCCAGGCTTGTTAGAAGATCAAAGCAAAGCAGGAGAAAGTAAATTTACTGTGCTCACACCTGAAAATCATTCTGGGCTTTTTTCTTCCGAGGCTAACAATTTCTTGTCTAACTTGGGGGGCTTTGTGATCTGTACAAACACAAAATACCTTTCCAGATTAATGGGCGTTGTACCTGTCTTATCTGGAACCAGCATTCCGTCAGCCACGTCCTCGGTTTTCCAAGTGTCTTTATTATAGCCGAGGCACAGCTTGGGCTGTCTGCAGCCTGCAGTGGGAGCTTCAGCATCTGCACACCTTCCAGCATCAGCCTGACACATACCTGTAACAAACACACCGGCTGGTTAAAAGATTACAACCATCTGCTCTCGGTTAAACGACGCGTCAAGTCTTCATTTCTACTGCAAAAGCTGCAAAAAGGAGGAAAAAATAGCAACGGACGTAACAGGTGATTTTAAGCTAAAGTTTAATGGAGTAAGTGCTGTACGATCTCAGAGGAATCTTAGTTCAGAATGTTTAACTTTTCCTTCCTAACGTGCTGTGTGTAAGTGCTGTAAAACCCCAACATTTAATTTCTAAGCCTGAAGGCAGGGACAGGCAATGCTAATGTATTTTCTAGTAGAGCTTAACTACGGGTAACTCTGGTGCCAAAAAACTAATCCAAAATTAGCAAAAGAAAAAAAATAAAGTCCTTAGGGCCTGGCTGAGCAGTTTCTGAAGGAGTCTGCTTGTATGAACATTTATTACTGGGAGAGGAGAGCTCTGTGAAGTGAAAGATCCTTTTTCTGCACAAACACAGTAGCTAGAGAATTACATTATGGAGATCTTTCAGATAACTCCCAGCAAGCACAGAAGTACTTTTGTATTGTGATTTCTACCTCCTTCTATCAAGTTCAGATACAGCACTACTAAAAAAATAATTCGCCATGTTCTCACCGTTGCTGTCGATGTGCCCGTTGGGCTGGGGGTTATCTACTCGGACGATGGCGTCCTGACGGTCAGAAAGAGTCCCCTGGGAGGACAAGTAGCTCGGCACGTCGGGAGGCACAATAGTCTCATCTAGAGCAATGGGAGCAGAGAAATGTCAGTTCTCGGGAAGATCTAAAGGCTTCTGTTTTCACAGGCATGTAAAATCACGTTCGCAAGAGGGATGTGGGACCAGATCTGTAACTGGTATTTTCTGTAGATGCAACAGAAGCTCAACTGCCTAAATACTCCATTCCCCTCAGAAGCCTCACTCCTGATTTTTCAAAGCTTAAAGCTGTGACAGAACGCGCTGGTAAAGCCACTGCAGGTGCTGGCATTTGGCACGCTCGGGACAAGGTAGGTGGAGGTGGAACTGTCTCCTCAGAACAAGCGAATCCCGTGCAATTCAGAGCACCTCATTCGACTCAAGTCCTGTGTCCCCCAAAGCGATGAGTCTTTTAGACTTCTGGAGAACAGAGCCAGCAGGCAAATCTGGAGAACAGAGCTGGCAGGTAAATCTAAGCCCCTGAGCTATCCTTGGCTTCCTCTGTTTTGTATCAGGCAATTTCAGTTTCCCTTGTCAAACAAAATGAAGTGAAACTCAGGCTGTGCTAGGCACAAAGCCCTGGATTTTCAGGACTGAGAAGGAGGAGAAAAAAATCCCACTGACCATCATGCTGGTCATACGGCACCCGAGACTCCCTACCCAGCCTGCGTCTTTAAATTCCTGTGTCGTGGTACATCTAAAGCCAAGCGTAACACAGGAAGGGTGCAAATCCCATTAGGGAAGGGAAGTCTTGGGCTGGTTCTTCCATACTGCTGTTTGGAGGCTGCATACCGTTAATGGCAAGAGGGTTTATTCTCACTGCAACACTTATTTCGGCACCAAATTATGCCCTTTGAGTACCAGGAGGAAGCAACAAACACTACTTCTTCTCGTAACAAGTGAGGGATGCCTCTCATCCACAGGGCTACAAAAGCTCTTACAGGCAACATGGAAAAAAGAGATTCCAGCTTCTAAGTGTAATTTTTCAAGTTCTGAATACAAAGTCTTTGAAAATACAGATTCCCAAGAAGTAAGACAGGCTCCCAGCGTCATGGACAGACCCAGACTGTCTCTAGAGTTATCACTTATGGTCACGGAAAATCAAAGCAACAAAGCAAAGGCTGGAACTACTGCCAAGTGGAAAAGACCTTTCTGAAGAGCAAGCCGAGGGGAGAAAAACAGCTCTGAACAAGCTTCAACAGCAAGCGAGAGCTGGTTCCAGCTTTGTGAGCCAAGAGAACTGCCGCGATAAGCCAACTGCTTTTCCAGTGTGACTGTGAGAGGCTACGGGCTGTGCCAGTTCAGCCTCGGCGGAAACAAGGACAGCACAAAAGGCGAGAGGAAGACTTGGCAGGACACGAGAGCTACCTGTGTTGGTGACGCTGTATTCTTCACTCTTCTTCCTGGTTTGGTAGATGATGCAGACCCAGACCAGCGACGTCAGCACGATGCTGCACACCACAGCGATGGTGATGATGCCCACGGTGGTTCGGTCCTTCCTACAGCCCAGAGACTGCAGGATGCTCACGTGGCTGTGCGCGCGCTCCGTCCCCAGGGTGTTGGACATTTCGCAGGTGTACTTCCCAGCATCCTCCAAGACTACGTTCCTAATGATCAGCAGCTGGTTGCCCGAGGTAAAGTGATGCCTTTCTGTGACAATCAGGGGCTGGTCGCCTTTCAGCCAGGTAATGCGGGGAGGTGGGTTCCCCGTAGCTTTGCACTGGAGAGCCACAGTCTCACCTACGGATGCCACGTGGTCCTCCAGTGGGTGAATCAAAGCTGGTGTCTCTGCAGGAGAATAAACACGGAAATTAATTCTTGGGAGACAGTGCCACAACAAATTTCTTCTAATGGTCCTGCAGACAAATAGAGAATTACAGAATTGTTTAGGTTGGAAAAGACCTTTAAGACCATGAAGTCCAACCAATGCCACGTCCACGACTAAAACACAGAAACACCCTGTGCAGCCACGTGCCCAGGAGCACGGCAGCTGCCAACCACAGCAGGTCAACAATCACAACCAAGGCCCTCCCATAACCGGTTGGTGTTGGTCTTCCCAACAAAGAAACCCCCAAAGACAAGGGGCAAACAGCTGACACATACAAATTATTCCATAGAGGAAGAGAAATGGAGTGAAATTTCCTTTTGAAGTAATTTTCCCAGATGGTAAATCGGGTGGTTGGAGGGGATTCCTCAGCACAAGAGGAAATGCGACTTATGGCTCCTTCTCTTAATTAGCAGGGTAGTTTTCATTAGTTAACTACAATGTAAAAGAATGAAGCAAGACTAATGCAGAGCACTGCCTCTTCATCCCTTTTCTGTACATGCAACTGCTGAGGAGCTGCTTCCCTTCCGGTTCCCACTTCCAGACCACTTGGGTCTCCAGGGGCATGAACGCATCTTACCCAGCACAGTCAGGGTGGCATTTGCAAGCACAGACCCCGCTGAGTTCTGTGCCGTGCAGCTGTAGACACCCATGTCTTCTATCTTCACATCCGTGATGAAGAAGACGTCGTCGTCGGGCATGACGTGCATGCGGCGCTCTCGGGCCGCGGGGAAGTCCGTGCCCCCGTCTTTCTGCCAGGCGATCTGTGGGGTGGGGTGTCCTTCGGCTGCACACTCCAGCCGCACTGTCGTCCCCGTCCGGCTGGTGATGTCATGGGGAGTTTTGATAAACGAGGGCAACACTGATGAAGAAAAACAAGAAAAAAGGAGATGAGCAATTCCATGGGGAAAACACTGTCTGCTGGGCAGTTCAACCGTCAAAGGCAAGAGGATGGCGAGCTGCTTTTGCAGGACGTATGTAAACTGCTGGGAACTAACTCTGCGTTTCCACAGCACATACCTGTGTGTGAGGTTCAAGAGCCCCTGGCTCGGGAACATTAGAGCTGGGATCAAAGCTAATTTTCTTTTGCAATTCACCTGAAAAGAAACCCTCTTATCTCACCTACAGAGAGCTTTCAGTCACTACAGTCCCTCCTCTTTGTATCCTTTTGTATTTTTGTTTTCATTTGCCCAATTCATTGAGCAAAGTTTCTACCAGAACAGTCCAAGAGAGGCAGCTAAACCTGTTATGAATATGCTGAAGTGCTTGGCTGGGTGGCATCCAGCCTCACAAGCCTGGCCTGCGCTCCTCACGTGGCATTTCTCAGCATCCGCTGAGATGCAAGCAGCTGGTGTGAATCGGTTAGGAGCTCCTCACCATGAGGACTAAGTCCCAGAGAATTGTGCAAGCTCAGGCTGAGGAAAAGAACAAGAAAGCAGCTTCCTACTCACCATTAACGGTGAGTCGGGCCTTGTTGGAGTAGGTGGAGCCGAAGTGGTTGGTGATGATACACTGGTAACGCCCTTCGTGGGTGAAGGTGACGTGCCGGAGGTGCAGGATGGTGGTGTACTCCATCACTTGGCCATCCTTTGCCCGCACATGGGCAAAGTTCTCAATCTCAGCGTCATACAGCATCTCGTTGTCTTTTTTCCATGCAAATATCATGGAAGAGCTGCTACTGCTGGCGGCCGAGCAAGTGAAGCGGATGTCCTTCCCAAGGACGGCCACTGTCGTCTCGGGCTGGATGATGATCTGTGGCTTGGGGAAATCATCTAGGAGAAACCAGCAGGCACAGTCAGTTGTGGACTACAAGGAAATACCAGAGCAAGCAAAGAGACGCAATGAAAGATGAGCAGGGCGTAGGTAAAAGGCATTATTGCACATCTGCTCTTTTGTCCGCACCAGGAAAGCAGCGTGCTCTTGCAAAGCACTCCACCATCAAGACTGGCACTGTGGTGCAGATGTGACGCACACGACTCCACTGAATGGCTGGTCCACACGACTCTCACTCCTCTGGTTCCTTCTGTAACTGGTGGACTGAGACGGTCACTCAGTGACCACAAACACCTACAAGAGCCTACCTCTCTTCACCGAGCTGAACCTCTCCACTGAGCTGAACCTCGGGCAGCTACTACAGTCTAAAGAAAATATCCTCCTTTGTACAACTCATGCAGCAGTACTGAATTTCAGACTTTACCTCCAACCCTGCATTAGTAGGAGTGGAAAGCAGGAGGACACTTAACGGGCTGCAAATGCCACCTCTGGGGACAAAGCTCACGAGCAAGGTGACTGCAGCACGCACCACCAAAGCAGATGCAGCCGTATTTGCTTGTCACCCGTCTGGGGTGGAAAGCTTTGCATGCTCTCTGCCCTCAAGACTGTTGGTTTTAGCAAGATTCCAAGCAGATTCATTTATTAGATTTCTACAAATGGTGTAATTTAATATTTGACTAAGGTTTAATTAAAAAGCCAGGCCTCTGGAACCATGAGCACTAGTGCCTGGAGGACTTGGCAGGCACAGGAGAAGCAAAGCTGTCTTCGCTTTGTGATGTTGCTGTGGGGATGGAGCCTTCGTGATCTCTTCTTCCAGATGAACACAGTGAGCCTCCCAGGCTTGCTCAGACAGGGGCCACCTAGGGAGAGCCCAACCACTCTGGGATCGAGAGGGACATGGGACAGCAGCAGGAACAAAGCTTTTCCTCTGCATTCAACGCAAGCCATGCATTCAACTTGGTTAAACAGTGTTTTCAAAAGCTCCGTTTTCCTTCATCAAACAGCCATGTGCAGCCCTGCCCAGGATTCACACTGGTTGGCTCCACAGCACAGAGTTTGGCTCACCAAACCAGGCCTTCATTTTGCCCAAAAGCTGCATGTATGAGCCTCCTCTGATCATTTACTCTTTTTTCAGGAGGTAGCAGACGTTTATGTATGCTGGGTATTAAGTAAAGCTGCTCTGCAACCACAGCTGAGGTGCAGTGTTTGGGTGGGTTGGCCATCAGTTGGTTCACATATAATGCCTTACTGACCCCAAAAATGTAACTGTAATGGAGAAATTCCTGTCTGCTTTTTTTTTTTTAACCCTTTGTTAGTTCCAAGAGGGAGAAATGATGACTGAAGAACAGAAAGTCACAGAAGAAGCTCAGAAGACTGCAGAGTGAAAAAAATTATAGCTGCAGTCTTGGTAGTTTCAAACCAAGCAGACTGGTGAAGTCTCTGTACAGGCCATCTGGAACTGGATCAGGCATTAGTCCCGTTTGATTTAATACTCAGGGAGCCCTGTAAGGAATACACTAGATGCCAGTAATACGCTGTGTGGTTTTGGTGGGAAATAAATTGTAGCCAATGACAAATTTTTAAAATGCAGGCTTGGGCTTCCTTTGATCCCACTGAATAACAAAACAAAACAGAAACCCTCTCATAATAACATGCTGGTAGTCAAAGAAAACGTTTCCCAAGTGAGTCCTACCCTTCGTACAACCTCAAAACACACAGGGCAAGACTTACCACACACAAAATTTTCTGGCAGGATGGCAAAAATGCTCTTGCTTTTTAGTGACTCAGGATGGGCGCAGGTGGCCACCACAAAGGACTGCAGCTCCTTCTCGACTAACCACTGGGGCAACCATTTCAGCTGGCAATCGCAGAGGAAGCTGTCGCTGTTCACGTGGCTGCAGGGAAACAAAACCAACACGAGCCTGCTGTGAGTCCCGCACGGAGAGAAGGCTGGAAAGCTCACAGCCCTTTCATGTCAGACACATTCCTCCCTCTCACCCCAGCATGAGTGGAAGGGGAAAAAAACAACCAAACACTGCAGGGTTGTCCTTGAGGCATGAATGATGTTAAATACGTAACACATTTTAACAGCATTTCATCTTCACATAGAGCAACCCACTCCTGTACTCCAGTGACACTCTCTAGCATCTTGTATTTATTAACTGGCTTCCAGTGATTCCCAGGAACAGAGGAGCAATACCATCCCTGGCTTAAGTGAGAGAAACCAAGGCAGGTCATCTCCAAAGGAGACAGTCCGTCCCGCTCCCGTTGCTCATATCTAATGTCTCCCTCTGTGGTTTGAGCATCTGTGGTAGGGACGGAATTCAGGACTTCACTGCTGAACAGTGAGACGATGTCACATTCCCACTTTAAGACGTTGAGTTCCCTCAGTGGCCAACACCAGAGGAGTAAGTGGAAGGCCCGGGCCTGCCCCTGTTTGCACACCAGCATCCCCAGGGTTAAGAGGTGCAGCCGCTGTTGTGTTTACTGATTAACAGAAGTAGTGGAAGAGAAATGACCAAAGGCATTTGTGTAAACCCAATACAAATAGTAACTAGTTTGGAAAGCAAAACGCAAAAAACATTTCTCAGTATCCTAACAGTAACTTAGCACCTTCTGTTAAGAAAAGAGCTGTGATGAAGGGGCAAATAAAAGGGAGGCATCAGGATTTATGTATATAAAATATATAATGCATTCTGCGGGTCTATGTGCCCTATGTGAAAGTCACCTTCTTCACAGTATAAAGGTGCCCTCACAGTATCTGGGATCCCACAGGCTCTTCTCTACTAAGATCAATCTTTTGCTTCAATGTCGTTTCAAGAGCCAGTGCAAAAGGTGGATAAACAAATGATGGACATGTCACCTTTATCTTAATGCATTCCCCAGTCGCTGGTATTACATGTCATTACTAACAATGACCATCTGATTTCCATTTCCAACGTCAGGAAGAACAATCTGAATCTGCCCAAATACCACATAAGTGATTTCTTGTTCCACGGACGTTGCACTACTGCAGAGTGCAGCAATGCACTGACAGCAGATTAAATATTTATGGAGAAGAAAAGGAAACCAGGCAAAACTGGAAACAGTGTCTGATAACAGTGCAAAGCCCCAGCATGGAGCACAAGCAGCAGCTCTGATAACACATCCCTATTTTTACATCAGAAGGCTGGATGACAAGTGCATCCAGTTCAGCTTATCACTGAAATGTCAGTACTGTACGCAACTCCTAAACACAGGTACAGCAAAGGAGCAGACAGGCCACTGGGAATTAAATCAGTGGCAGTGTGAGAAGGAGAGATGGCTGACAGCACCAGGACTGGACTTCCTGAGCAGAAATGAATAATTGCACAGATGCAAATCTGCTGGAAGAACCCGTTCCAATGATCTAATTTTACTCGCTATTACATGCAAGATGTTCCCTTGACATCTACTCATGTGTAACAATACCCTACAGAGGAGGACAGAGGGGAGGAGGAGATGAATGGTAATGCAGGTAACGCCTCATTGGAAACAACGTGCTATTTCTCACGTCCAGGGCAAGAAGGATCCTGCTTCCTTAATGGTGTGTACAGTCTGGTTACTTACAGCTGCCGCAGGCTCTTCATCTTAGCAAAAGCATCGGCTTGAATTGAGCGGATGGCGTTATCCCCAAGGTTCCTGCAACGTGAACAGAAAAGATGCTACAGCTGTGACCGAGTCTCTCCGTATTCAAGCAATGACTCCAGTAGCAGGTGATCTGGTAGCTCCTTGTTAAGGCCAGATGTACTTGCAGCTCACAGAAATGGTTTTCCACAAAACACTTTAATACTGAGCAAGCAATGTTGAAAAATAGTCAACCAACAAAAATTACAGGAATAAATCACTAAGTCATCTCACACTCCATCTTCTCACTATACTTTCTCAGTCTCAGCTACCTCAGCTCAGAAATTCCTCAGCCCCCTCAATAACCAAAGACAGTCAGGAATGTCATATCGCAGGCGAGACCTTCAGCAAACATCAAGAAAGCAAACACTTGCACTAAACGGCATCTAAGAAGTTATTTGAAAGTGATTCTGGGAGGATACTGTTGTGTTCGAAAAACACTGTAATGTTTCCAAGCTTTAAAGCTTCCTTCCTAACTATTGCTGATTAAAAAAACCTCATTTGTCCTCTGGAAAAGGACAGCGTCAGATTTAAGGCTCAAGTTCACCTAGGACAAACCAGCCAATAACATCTAGAGCAAAATCACATAGACTTGTCTTAATTCAGAGAGGAAGTTATTCATGAATCACTGCTGCAGTCATCAGCCCTGGGACACAGGAAAAAAAAAATTACATAGTGGCAGCCAAAATTTGCTTCTTGCAAATTGCTCTGAGGCAGTTGTGCTGAATGAGGATGTTTGGTGCCTGCCCCGTTAGCAGTCATTTGCAACGTGTGTCACTGCCAGAGCCTAGATTTAGGAGGAAGCTGGGGAAAGGGAGGAGGAGAGAGGGCTATATCCGAAATAGCATATTTTTCATTGCAAACAGCCTGCAAAGAAGCAATGTTCAAGTCAAGGCGGTATTTATCCAAGAACAAATCAAAAAATTAAGAGCATGCAGATTTGCCATATGTTCTATAACTTTGTTCCTGGCACAAAAAAAGGCCAAAGTTGAGGCAGACTTATAATGAGAAGGAAGCAGGTGGCCCCCACAAATGGACTGGCTTCTCAGTTTACAAAGACGCTATTAAATTGCTAGCAGATCTCTCAAGCAGCTACTTTTGGCAGACCCCCCTTCCCAAACTCTGAGGCATGGTGGGTTACTCACAGGTGCTCCAGGGCCTCCAACCCTGAGAATGCTTTCTTGGCCACCGACTTGATCTTGTTTCCAAACAGAGTTCTGCAGTTTCCAAACATCCAGTGCCAGATAAACAGAAAGAAAATGGGAGGGGGAGCAGAAAAAGAAGGAACACAATTAGTGTGGCTTTATCTGATATACGCGCTCAGTGTAAGTCCTTGGAAATGTGAACCGCACGGAGATTAAGAGGGCTGAAGTACACTCGCTTTCCTGCACCTGAAATTAAATCCTTTTATCTGTATTCGAATTTAATAGTGATGATAGCACAAAAGGGAATGTGTGATACCACGTAAAAAAGGCAGGTTTGCTCCAGTGCTTGGAAACCAGCTTGCTGAGTAACAGAAGGTCCTCTCTATTCTTTGCAGGCTTGGCTGTGGACAGGATTAAAGGCAATGACAGTTTAACAAGATCTCGGTCTCTCTCTGCAACACTTTTCATTTCTGACTTCTTCCCAGATAGCGAAGGAGAGGTAATTCCTTCACTGCCTGGCCTGAATGGACAGACATCCCCGCACAAGCGCCGAGGGCTGTCTCATGGCAGCACGTTCACACAGCAGCTCAGTGAAGCGACTGCTAACTTCCTTCCTTGGCTTCTTACAAACACAACAGCAAAGTAATACAACGTGATAAATAATAGCCAAGTGGTAACTTTGAGAGACAAAAGGAGAAAAGGTAACGTACAGAGCTGAGGAGTGCGCTTGCTTGTGTCTGCGAGCAGAGAGCGTCCCTGTGGAGCAGCAGCCAGCTGCTATCTGCAGGGTAACAGTTGGCTATAAATACTGACCAGTGGCGATGGGTCAGGGGCAAGGTTCATGCACAAGGGATAGTCTCCTCGCCTGTTTTAATAAAACATCAACCAGTGACACTAATCAGGAACTGCCTTCCTTCCCCTGAGTTCTCTCTGCCTAAGGCTTATCTTCCAGGTGCGTCTTTTATCAGCGCCTGCTTCACGCGGCATCCGACGCAAGTCATCACAAACACCTCACGTGGGAAAGTGGCGCTTCTGGTGCCACGTGTGAGCTTTCCTTCGACACAGGGTGCCACCTATAACTGCGCACTAATGGGCTCTGAAGCTACGATGGCCCCACTGCTTGCTACTGGCTGGGGAAAGGAGGCTGGGGTACAAGACAGCACTTGCAGGCACTACACAAGCAAATCCATCTGCAGGAGCTTGTCAAGGCTTTCCACAAAGCACCTTCAGATGTCTGGGAAACTCAGTGTCTCAGCACTGGCACCCAGAAAGCCCAGTTTGTGGATGAAGCAGTGGATCCCACAATGGGTAGAAGGGGCTCATTGCACTGTTGGGCCAGCAAGGACTGAGACTTTATCTCAATGTGCCCTTGTAGCCTGTTGTCTCTGGAGGGAATTTGGGTGCCTGCCACTGGGCAATGCTATGACCCTGAGCAGGTCCTCACAAAACCAATCACCCTGATGGTGGTATTGCCCGATGAACTACCACTCTAATTCCTGAGGAGACAGAAAGGCTCGCTACTGCCAGCTCCGTACAAAAGGTCCATGGCCCCAGAATCACAAATCTTGCCATTCGAGAGCAAAACAGAACCAAAAGCTTCAGTCACCTCCCAGCCTCCATAGCGAGACACGCACTTGAAGTCCTTTCTTACAGGCAGAGTTAACTCGGTAGAAAACCACAGCTGAATTTTCAGAGCTGTGTCCCTTCATTATTTGATTTGTGGCATGAATAAAGACAGCTATCGCAGGCACGTTAGTGGCTCCAGATAGCTGCAACCTGTTTTACCGCCAGTCTCATTCCAAATACCTGCAGTGGGTTTTACTGAGCTCCTTGTTACAGCATCAAACCCAGGGTATCACAGGTTCTATTTATTGCATGAGAGCATGTGTGGCTTTTTGCTCTGGGTGAAATAACCCCAAGCACTAGAGAATGTGTGCAATCATGTGTGCTGTTACTTGGTTAAAAGGATGTTGTATTAATGAAGGCTTTGAAAAATCCATTAGAGTGATTAATATAGTAAATAATTTACTATATGCAAACTCTGGTCATATGGCTGCATCCACACACACAAACATCTGGAGCTATATTCCTAAGTATTGGTGTTATGCTGAGCTTGGGTTTGATAACTGGAGATTTCCATTTACTGTTTACAGTGGATCTTGGACTTTGAAAATTCAAGACGCTGATTCTATCTGTTTACTCATCTGTGCAGAGATAAGCAGCATGTCTGGGGATGCGAATACAGAGTGTATAGGCACGTACAATTTTATGGCTATATACCCAAGAAATACGTAGCGCATGGGTAAGACAGCCATGCCCCAGCAAACTCATCAAAATCATTACACCTTTCAAATTTCAACTAACCACTTGTCCAATTCTGGAATGGTTTGAACCCAGCAGCCCCACTCCAAGGGCCACGGCACGCCGGAAAGCACACGTGGCGGTACATAGCAACACCAGGAGCCTGCCCGCTGCGGCGGCGAAGCTCCTCTGCTGCCGGCAGAGCCAGGCGCGAGCGTGCTTTCCTGGCGATTGCATCAGCGTAATTACACGCCAGGCACACAATTCATTAGAAAGCTGCGTTTTCTCCTCCAGCCAGTTTTGCACCTGCAGGAAGATCTCAGTCACTGAGTGAGCCATCAAAAAAACGGTTACATTTAGCAGCTTGAATAATTAGGAAACTCCTTGTTCCCCAGTGATTCCACTGATGCTTTTTATGCTTTGGTGCTTCTCGACTCCCTCTTTCTTGAAGCAACATTTTAATTTAGGCCTGTGCTCTCCATCCTGGAGAGCTTCATATATAATTCAGAGAAGGCTAAAATGACTGGCCTCCCCACCTCTCAGTTTAACACCTTCATCTCAGTGAACAGCCCTCTTTGCACTAAATCCTTTCAGAGGCTAATCTGTGCCAGATCAAAGGGGAACAGCTTTTAAGGCAATCTCCACAGAGCTGAGGTGATTATTAATTCATTGGAAGGTCTCCTCTGAAGTGCCCATTTATTTTTTGTATGCTAATGCATTTAAAGCCAGTTGACGGTTTAAACACAGGCCGTAAATCATGCAGCAAAATGTTTGCTGGAAAGGCTGATGGTTTATTTACCAAAAAGTCCTGCCAGCAAGAATGATACTCAGTTCAGCCTTTGGTGAAATTACAAGTTGGAGATTTATGTGCTGACGAGCTAAAACAGACCTGAGTCGATCCCTTTAAAAGTAACGACTGAGAATTATCCCCAAAATGTCTCAAGAAATAATGAAATAATCTCATATTTGGAGTGTTTTTCCAGTCTTACGCTCTGACTGATAGCGAATGATCCCAGCAATCTGTCTGTCCCACAGCAGAATCGCTCTGTTAGGTAACTAAACCTCTCCTGCCTGCCTGAGACCCACCTAATTCACAGCCTGCTCCAGGCTACGAAAGTCGCCGCGATCCCTCGGACAAATCCCGGGCACGCGTCTTTCCCTGCGCTCGGCCAGACTCAGAGCTGGCCCAAGTTCAGGGGCAGCGGAAGAAAGCGGTCGACAACGTGAAAAGAAGATGCAAACCTGGCTTCTTGAGACTTGTGCAAGCCCTTGCAGCATCCTTTGCTGCCAGCAGACAAAACCGGCCGTCTTTTGAAATTGTTCCTTGTGCTGGATAATAAACATGAGATCGGGCCACGGCTACTTCACAGGAGTGCGACAGCTGCTCTCCCCAGAACTCTTTACCTCACTGCCGTCTCC